CTTCAGCAATGCTTACACCTAAAATGCTTGACACCATTTCATGGTCATTGATGAGGTGTGGGAATGTCTAGACATTGACCAGCCTGTACAGGCTTGACTCCACCAGTATAAGGGCCTTTTAAGAAAAAAAAAGGCCCCCTCCAGCAGGCTATGGTCCCGTGAGTCATCACATCCAATATAATGGGTAATGGACATGAGGACGCCAAGGGACATACCATCTTCTTTAAGTCTTCATGTGCCATTACAGGGCCTACCCTGCAACCAGTGGTGGCTTCTAATGAGATGTGTCAGATCTTGGCAGTCTGGACCAAGCATATGCCTAGTGATCGAACCTCCATTACAGTTGATCCTTCATTCCTACAATGTTTGGAGCAGTTTCCTGTTGCTCTCCGATACTGTATGTATGGCTTGCTGCATCAGCTCTTTAGATTGGGCTTTCAGTCAGTCCAAAAGCACAGGCTTCTGTGGCTTAAATATTGGTCGGCAGAGGCAGCATGCAAGTAACTCTTTAAGATTTGTAGTCTCAGGAGCACATCTCTTTGGAGAAGACCTGGACACTATCATTACCAAGTTACTGGTGGTACTCTCTTACCCAACAAGCGGAAACCCAAGACTCCCTCCATTAAGCCTACCTTGGAGTTATCCAGGAAGAGATCCTTTTGTCCCTCTCAGCTATCTACCTCTAAATCAAAATCTGGGTCCCAGTTCAGGTGCAAAATGTGGAGTTCTAAGTTTCCCAAGTTGGCTCCAAGCCCCCAATGGGAGAGGGGGCGGGGGGAGTCTGTTGGCCTTTGCAGTCATTTGAGCTGGATATATCCAGGATCTTTGGGTTTAATCTGCCATTTCTGAGGGCTACAAGCTGGAATTTCTCTCCTACCCCTTCCTTGTTTTATGCCTTTCAATATGCACTCTTTGCCCTGTGCGGAAAGAGGATCCCCAGTTGGCATTGGAGCAACTTATGACATAATGGGTCATCGTTCCTGTTCCTCTGGTGGACAGGTACTAGTGGTTTTACTCCAACTTGTTTATGATTTCGAACCCAGAGGGGTGTGCACCCTAATGGACTGGAAATCTCTCCAAAAAAGTTCTGCATGGAATCAGTGTGGTTGGTCATTGTCTTCCCTTCCACAGAGGAAATTCCTTGCTTCAGTGGACATCAAAGGTGCCTACCAGAATGTTAAAATGTTTCCTGTGCATCAGCACTTCCTGCACTTTTCCTTGGGAGAGAATGATTTTGAATTTGTGGTGCATCCCTTTCTACCAGTCTTCACATAAGTGCTAACTCCTGTCCTTGTATTCTTCTTGGGTTGTCTACGGGTAGGGTACTCCGGCCTATATGTGAGGGTCCTAACTGCTCTGGCCAGTATGCAATCATCTGAGGATTCCTGAATATTACCCACTTGTTTCTGAATCTGCCTGTGTCCCGCACTGTACTCCAAGAAACTGATTGTACTTGTAAGTAAAAAATCCTATTTTTTGGTATCATAATTTGCTTTTGTGAATTATATCCTTCTCCGATGCTATCTTGATGCGCCTGCTGTCAGGGTTTGGCCAGCTGTTTGCTGATCCATCCAGATTGAGTTCAAAACATGCATTATTGTAAGTTAAGACTCAGAAAACAAGGAGATACAAGCTCGAGCCATGACAGTGTCAAGATGTGAAGAATCTCTTGCTACACAAACCAAGGGGTGTACTGCAGCAATCCACATATGGACCTAGAGCTCAGCAGGCCAATGGTTTAGTCTGCTACATATATCAAAATTAAATAGTTTGGCTGAAATTTGTCTTTTACCTCAGCTAGATTCTGGAATAATTAGCTAAACCTGTGCAAATGAGAAGTATTCCATATTGGCTCATGTGTAGTAAGGATTTTAAGCCTAGAAACATGTTTGCTGGGAGATGTCACATGTTAAATCTGTACATTGTTTTGTCATCACCTCATACTAAGAGTTTCACTTGCTGCATTTCATGAGATATTTAAAATATTAGTAAACCATATAATAACCTGTGGTTTTAATTTCAGTGTTATACTTGCTGAGAAATTGCATGGCATATGTTGACCCTTATTATTTATTGTCACCACTTATATTTTGATCATCAGTTTGCAATGATTTTATAGTTAATATATATTTTTAAATAATATTGCTTTTATTTCATCTTTAAATTAGTGCATATAAAGAACTCAGTTATCAGTTAATTTATGAAGATTAGTAGGGTATCTCCTCAATTTTTAGATCCTTAACGTTCTTCATTAATAAAATACATTGCAATCAAATTCAAAAAGTTCTGGCCACATCCCTTTTACAAGCAGTCCAAAAATAATTGCAGGAATAGGATACAGCAGCCTTCTCCTGATTGGCGAGGGTAAAAAGAATTAAAATGTATATCCCGTCCAGGATTATTTTTGCTTTTAAATATATTAGAGCTACCGAATCACTTCTTCCCCAAATTTGTAAAAGCTTACAGATATTTGCTTGGAAGCGGCAGAGACCGACGTTCAACTTTTTTTTTTTACAGAGGGACATCATTTGATACATGCTCCCTCGCTTACCCCCACAATATAGGGGATTGTCTGCATTTGCTTATCCACTTACACCAGCAGCATTAAAAGTTTAGGACAGGCTTAACAGCAAATATTCCTTGGCTCCTGCACAATCACCATTGCAGAGACTCTTATGGTGTGGCCCGAGAGGATCTGCAGTTTTTCAGAAAGGTGAAGTTTGGATGGGTGATCTCCGATGCAGAAAATGTATAGCAAACTCTAATCTGAAACTCACGGACAAACTCATGGAAGACTGGGGGGTAATTTCCAATATGCAATGGCTAATCGCTGGAGAGGTTGTAGCCTGGGGGGATATTTTCTACCCCTACGGTGGGATTGCCCCTTAATCCCAACCCTTTTAGTCTGCAGTAAGAAAGACCATGAACCAGTACCTACAGCTCCAGGTCCCAAATGACCCATTGCCAATCCTATCCCTGCGGCCCCTACCTCCATCAACTGTATAAAAAGTCATTAGAACCTTATCTACTAAATGTAGGCAATAGTCTTCTACCTTACAAGTGGAAAACTAATAGAGTACCATCACTAAAAGGACTGGTTCACTAAAGTCAATGACATAATGAAAAATGCACAATGGGCACAGTTTGAGGGACACAACACTTTTTTTAATGAAATCTGGGCAGGGTGGATCCACTTCACCACTACAAATAGCTTAATGCATAACTGCACTTCTCGTATACATATCACACAGCCAAATTTTAGTGGTATGGAAACACAAAATGAATGATTAGTGTATTCATTGACATGTTGTACTGAGGAATGTACAGTTTCTCTTTCCTGGCATTTTCAATTGTATATATATAACCCAGAAAAACTGCACACAAAAAAGGTGTATGGGCTATGACTGCTATTCAGGGCTCTGTTAGAGACATTTACCTTCACTTCCTATCCTGCTGACCATGGTTTCACCAGACAGGAAGTGAAAGGAAAATCTTCAACAGTGACACAAACAAATACAAATCTGACAGGGGTTCTGATTCTTCCCCACACTATCCAAATCTAAAAGAAAACAGTTTTCATTTAACACACACTTTAACCTAGGTGTTAAACTTGCACATTTATTGAGTAAGTCATTAACTCCCTGTAGCGGTCTCCAACAAATTGTTTCCAGAACACCCTTGAAAAACGATCATAAATCAGTATATTTTAAATGTACTTTAAACATATAAAAGACTCGGTACAGTTCCAGTTCATTTCTAGGATCACCAACTGACAGACGATGTATTAGCACAGCATTCACAGTTGTCACACTAAAGCTGGCCATACACCTATAGATTTTCAATGGTCAGATGTAGGGATGCACTGATACAGATACTAGTATCGGTGCCGAGTACTCGTCTCCGATGCCTAGCCCGATACATCTGGTATCAGGAAGCCGGGCAGTGCGTCATTACAAGCTGCCCGGCTTCTTGATTGGCTGGGAAGTCGGTTCCATGCTCTCTCGTCACTTGTGACGAGAGAGCATGGAGTCGGCTTCCCGGCCAATCAAGAAGCCAGGCAGCTTGTAATGACGCTTCGCCCAGCTTTCTGATTGGTCGGGAAGTCTGCTTCATGCTCCTTCGGCACCTCATGATGAGGGAGCATGGAGCTGGCTTCCCGGCCAATCAGGAAGCCGGGCGTCGAGTCATTACACAGTGCCCTGCTTCCCGATTGGCCAGAAAGCCGCCTCCAAGCATGGGGGCGGCTTCCCTGCTAATCGGAAAGTGGTGGTGAGTCTTTACATGCTGCCCGGCTAATCAGGAAGCCAGGTGGCGAGTCATTACAAGCTGCCTGGCTTCCTGAATGGGACTTCCGGTACTCGGTATTGGCGAGTACCAAAAAAATAAAAAACTAAATCGGTACTCAATACCGAAATCGGTGCATTCCTAGTCAGATGGAAAAAGTGCAACAGATTCCTCCATCTACGCTAAACTGTGTGGCTGGAGGTATCTCCCACTGGGCCAAGCTTCAGTATCTTGCCAGTTGGCCCCGCTGGCTCTCAAAATACCTGAACAATGCCTGCATCCAATCAGATTGTTCAGGTGTTTTGACAGCCAGCAGGGCCGACTAGCAAGAAACTAAAGCTTGGCCCAGCGGGAGATTTCTCCAGCCACACAGTTTAGCGTAGATCAGGGGTAGCAAACCTCCGGCCCTCCAGCTGTGGTGAAACTACAAATCCCATGATGCATCTCTCTTCGGGAGTCATGTCTGTGGCTGTGAGAATCTTGCAATGCCTCATGGGATTTGTAGTTCCGTCACAGCTGGAGGGCCAGAGGTTTGCTAACCCCTGGTGTAGAAGGAGGAATCTGTTGCACTTTTTCCATTGGACCATAGAAAAGCTATAGGTGTATGGCCAGCTTAACTTTGCAATTGGATCAAACAAGCTGCAAAGGAAGAAAGTTTTATGTCATCAACGTATGTGCAAAAAAAAAAAATAAAAAAAAAAATCACAGACCAAAAATGGGTAGAAGGCTTTTTATTGTGAATTAAAAAAACAAAACCTTAAGACGGTAATGCTGATTTAGAAGGTACACTCTCTTCCCCGTTCATGCTTAACCTTACAAATACATGACCAGAGCTCAGAGAGCATGGATGCAAGGCCAAAAGCATAACACCAGTCTAGAGCAGGGACAGATGAAAAATACCTACATTGGGGCACAGTACCAGCTGTAGTGGCCCTGAGCTCTGCTCCTGAAAGGACGGAGTGTTTAAGGTACATTCACTTCTCAACACTCAGCTGCTCCTTGGAGGTATATGATGTCTTTCTGGCGTCAACAGGCAAGACACTGTGACAACAGAACACTATGAAATGTAACACTAGGAGGATCTATCTGTGAAGCAGCAATGACAAGGCCTGCTCTTGGCAGGTATCATGGAATGGGTGCAGGAGCAGCAACCCCCACCCTGTACCTTAAACAGCTCCAATCAAATCTGGCAGGACAGATAATACTTGTATCATTAACCAGCACAGAGTGGGGATGTGTGGGTAATAGGACAAGGGTTCAGGGAAGAAACACTGGAGGTGAGGCCTAGTGGCGGTTTCCTGCAGTGGAATTATCTGTAAGTTACACTCGTGGGAGCACCTTCTCCAAGAAGTTTTTCACGGTCATCATTTCCTAAAACAGTTAAAATAGAAATTAGAAGTGAAACCCGTAGTTTTTACTTAAGGTAAACAATGTTACCAAATTGCACACTACTTGTAATTGTATAGGCACATGGCGGGAGCCATATTTGTTAAACATTTAGGCTGTGCTTTCTGCTTAGAAATGCTACTGGATGGCTGTGCTTTACTGCTCCTTCTTACAATACAAGTCTATGAATTGTCTGACTCACTGGATAGTATCTTTATACACAGATACCTCATCTCTACAGCCATTATAAAGTTGAGTCAAATGTGGAGCTCTTTTTAGTGGCTAATAAACAAGTATCTGTATGTATTAACAAAGCAGAGGAAGACTACAAAAATGTGAAAATTATTTTAATGCAACTAAAGGCTCCTGTATGGCAGTCTAAACAAGTGCCATATTTGGATACTATGTGATGCACAAGTCTCATAGTAAACAAAAAGCTTCCTTTACCTTCCATGACTGGTCCAAATCCTCCTGTGTCTCAGATTCCCCCTCCCAGACACTGCAGCTCATAGTGAAAGGGTTTCAGCAACAGAAGCAGCTCTGTCAAACCAGAAAGCAGGCAGGACTAGGTGTGGCCAGGGGCTGATTGACCAGCTACAGGCTTGTACATTACCAGTGATGCCAATAGACAAGTCCCCTGCAATATTTTTTTAATCTCACTGTAGTACAAGCTGTGCATTTAAGAGCAGTGCAGCATTGTTGCCACACCATCGCAGGAAGCTGCATTGGGGGCTTGTAAAAAACATTACATGTGGGGGGTGGGTGGGACTGAGAAATGCAGATCCACATATAATTAAGTGCTGCAGCACATTTTTGTATGGTAGGCCATTATTCTACTTTAAACAAAGTGCTTAAACAGAAGGTGTAGCATTTTCAGCAAACACATTTTTAGCTGTTGTTGCATTATGTATCTTCAAGTTAATATGGAACAAGTTGGCCTTCCATAATATTTTACTTCCTTAAAGTATAACTTGTTAAAACATTTTCAGCAGGGGTGCTGTGACAGCAATTAAAACCTGACCCTCTTAACCCTTCCCTCACTCTATCCTTTAAGACAATTTATTGGGAATGTCATTTTGTCAGTGCAGATGAACAGGAATGTATTCTGGTAAACAGGAGGATGTAAAAAGAATTTAGTTGTAGGGTCACAGTACTACAGGCTCAAGAGTCTCTTCCTGGCTTCCTGTGTATTTTAGGTCTTTACTTTTACTTCTGAATTTAGTCATTGATTTTGAGACCAATTCTTGTTATGGTCTATTTTGTCCTCTTTACTCTATTACATGGTTATATAGGACAGATTGCCTGATATTTCTCTCTAATGGGAATTGGTATACGTTAAGCCCCGAATGCCACAGATCCGCTTGTACAAAATGTTTTCATGGAAACCTTGTCACTAAGCTATGGAGATTAAGCTTTGATTTAGAGGAGGGAAAAGTCACAGAGCTTTTCACAAAGATGTCACAATAAATCACATTTTAATGTAAAACGATCTATATGAAATCCTAAATCAAGTATGGAGGGGGAACTACATATTCACTACCAGAATATTTAATTTTACATGGCCTATACATCACAAGGCTTTTCAGATTTTGGAAACAAAAAAGCTGGCTTGCAGAATGCATCAGAGAAACAATATTACTGCAGATTTCTGATACATAAATATGTTACACCTCACTAGATCACACTAAGAATTGCTCTCATTAGCAACAGAAACAAAAGAAAAATAACCAGGTAAACATGCACAATGCATAAATAATAGAATATGATTAGTTTATTCTGCTGTTTGATGCAGCAAATAGATCCTTACCTCTTGATTAGTGCTGTGCATTACTCCAGGATATGTTTTGAACTGGATTTTTGAAGGGTTCACTACAGACTTCAGTTTCTCTGAGGTGAGTGCTCCGAAGCGGACAGGAATCATAGGATCTGCCTCTCCATGACATTGCAAGATGGAGATTTCCTTATTTACACTGCATGCTGCCTACAATTATATAAAAAGGACATAATGAATGACCTGTTAATTGGATATTCTTTAGCTATACTGCCAGTTCATTCTTAGCCCAGATTATATGTCCAGCCTGATTTACATTGTGATGGTGTTAAAGATCAGGCAGTGCTTACAGGTCAGATCTTTAACAGAATGATGGGCAGTAAAGATTATTGCCAAGATAAAGCATCACTGAGACCAAAAAAATCCCGTGTTCAGGAAATATATATCAAAAGGTTAGAGATTCAAGATCTCACCGATTCACTGAATGGAAGGTTTTGCCCAGAGATACACTTTTAATATGTATGATTTGATCAATATATATTGGGTGTTCGGTAGATGACTGAAAGCCGTATGAAGTATTCCCAAATGATCATCGCCTTTTAGGCTGCATTAGTTTCTGTACTAGTTTGATGATAATGCTGTGACCTAGCCATTTATGTTAAAGAATGAACTAGTAACAGAAACAACCTCAACAACATTTAGCAATGACCTAATAGGATGACTAAAAGAGGAAAAATCAACCCGATATAAGAAATAAGTGGCGTGAAAGTGCAATTTTGTCCATTTACTAGGAAACCATTAAGGCTGCAACAACTAATCGATTAAAGCGATAATAGTTGTCAACGATTCTCATTTTCCATTAGTTGATTGTTCGATTAGTTGTTTTTAATGGGCTGTGTCCCTTCTGATCTCTGCTGTTCCCAACGGGGATAGGAGGGGACACAGACCCCTGCAGCCAGTGCCCAGTGGTGAGGAGAGCTCTGTAACTCAATCTCCCTCCAGCCTCACCCCCTGCTGCTGCTCTACTCTCCTCTCAACAGAGAGCCGCTGCATGCAGGACACAGACTGCTGCAGCCGATGCCCAGTGGGGAGGAGATACCGATGTAGCCCCCTTGTCACTGCTCTCAGCCGTCATGCTTCTCCGTTTGGCAGTAGAAAGCCGGAAACAAGTCTCCCATCCAGCGGCTGAATGCAATAGCCAGCCTGCTAATGGCCATTTTTTTAAATTGCAATAGCAGGCTGGCTATTTTGACAACTTTTTCAATAATCGATTATAATCGATTATGTCGATTAGTTGTTGCAGCCCTAATTGCACCCGCCCACTGCCTCCTGCCAATCAGCAGAGGTGTTCTCCTTCAGGTCCCTCCTTTCTCTGCTGATTGACATCAGGCATGGAGGGGGGTGTAATAGACAGCCTGCTATTGCAATTTAAAATAGGGAATAGCAGGCTGGATATTGTTTCCAGCCACTGCCTACTGTATTTACATTCCCCAGCTAAAGCTATGGAAGTGGAAAGGTGACACTAGGGGCCCAAAAGACCCCTAATGTCACCTTAAAGAGAACCTGCCACCACCAATGTGCTATCACATAGGGGGTTTGTGAGCCCCCCCCCCCTATAAAGCAATAAAGTTAAAACATTTTTTTTTCTTCTAAAGTTAAATAAAAAATGCGAGCATACTAACAAAAACACGCGTTGGGTGCACCTATGTGTGAAAATGATGATTGCGGTACACATGTCAGGTATCGCCATGTGCGGCAGAGCGAGAGCAATAATTCTTGGACCAATATTCATGGCTATCTTTAAACCGATGACCGGGCTTTTATATTTTGATTACAAGTTTGGTTATTTTATTATATTGGCTTGGAAACGAATCGATGAAACGAATTAAAATGTCTAATACAATGATATAAAAAAAAAGTCATTTTCCATTTCAGCCTGACAAATTCTGCTGCAGGATGTGCGTTGCGGTGCTATTCATTTCAATGGCACCCCAAACATGCCTCCTGCCTGCAGTGTGATCGTCTGCACTGTAACACGCGGTACCACAATGCTGTGCGTTCCAGTGTGGTGCAATTGCAAAAATTGTGCATGCAGTTTTATTCTGAAGTAAACCTTAGGTTTGTAACACTCCATTTGTCTATTTGAAAAAAAAAAAAAAAAAGAAGGGATGAAATATTTTTTCATTCAATTAATTGAAAAAAAAAAAAAAAAAAAAAATCGACCAACTAATTGATTATGAAAATAATAGTTAGTTGCAGTCCTAGAAACCATTTTTCACCATATATAGGCAAAAGACAGGAGATGTTGAGGTACAAGTCCTCTCCAGTTGGATGTAACTACCAAGGGGGAGGCCCCAAACATCTTCAGGGAATTTAAACATTGTTTGTGTTAAATGAAAATGGTTTGCATAAAATCCCAAATTTCCTGGAAAAACACCGGTAGACATAGAAAACCCCAGGGATGTCTTCAAACTAGGGTAACGGAAGGAAGACAGCTTAAATTTGGTGAGTTTATACTTAGCCATCTGGTAGGCCTTCTCTCTAATCAATTACTGGGACACACAGTGTTATCTTCAGGGATGTACAAAAACAGTGCCACAAAATGGTTGGTAAATCAGATAAGCACAGGCAGGCTGCGTGCTTGCCCACTTAATACGATCTTCTGCAAAATAATTTTTAGCCAAAATGTCTGGCAGCTAGGCCTGCCACACAAAACCTGAGGATTTAAAGGTGTATGCCTAAAGAAAAGGTCAGAAGAGCGTCAAACTGAAATGGTAGCATATCATACTCCGATAGAGATCACCCAGGAGTAGGTCAGCAGTAAGTTTTTGCTCAGAAGGTCCATCTATTAAAGTGAGTGACAGATGGGCAAAAGGAAGGGGTAAAGAAGGACAAAAATCTCAAAGCCTAGACCACGTTAGTCGAAGAACACAAACTAAGAATGTGAGGAAGGAAAAGAGGTTCTTCTTTTCACCCAAACCGATGAATAGCACATCCTATTCCATATCTTATAAGACATGCATACATAATATAAGAACATTCTAGAGAACAAAAGCACCTGTTCTGTCTCCTACAGAGTCTGTCCATACAAGCTGCAGTTTGATCACCCGAGAAGACCAGACAAATGGAGCATTCTAGTGTCTGGGACTAACGAGAATAGTAAACTGCAAACCAATCCTTTGACCAGGGATCCTTTAACTAGGACTCTGGACTGTTTAGAATTACCAAGGGGATTATATAAAAGCAGATCCATTACTAGTAATTCTAACCACCCTGTTACTCTACACTAAATTATGCTCACAAAACAAGCCAAGTGCTGAAGAAAGTGATTCTCCCATCTCACTCTGGTGTAGTGTCACAAGACTGGTGGTGCAAAGGGGAGGAGGTTCAGTGTTTGCTAGTGCTACAAGAATAAATCACACTTCTAATTAATTTGGGGGATGTAATACGGAGGCAGCACCACCTTACACTGGCAGGGCTCAGCGTATTTCTACATCAGAAGCAAATGGTGGAGAGAAGAGAGAATGGAGTCTATCACATCACAATCTGGGTGCCAAGCTGGCTGAAGACAATGTAAGGCAGAGGTGAAAAAGCCTGGAATCAATGAGGTTGTGAAATGAATAACGATCCATCTACTAGCAGGACACTAAAACCTGAGACAAAGCAGGAGCAGTATTATAAAAAGGTGGATGTCAAATCCCTTGGTGCTCTGTGGACAGAAGACGGCTACATATTCCAGCAACTTACTCCCAGCCTCTCCCATGTGCTTGTAGGAAACATTTTTATGTAGGAAAAATACATTTATGAGAATTATCCATAAACTCATGTTTATAAAATCTCAAAAACACATCTTGTATTACCTGAGGGAATGTCTTGTGGAGAGGCAGCCAACAGCTAAGTCCAACTACCCCAGCAAGTTTATGTTGGCAGGTCAAAGCAGTATACAAAGACAGGGCACCACCCTAAGAAAACAAAAAGGAGAAAATGGCGCTCATTTTTCTTAGAAAAGGGAGACATAGAAATATAGAATATGCCATACAGTTTATGGTTTTCTGCACCTTTATTAACCCAAAATGAAACCAGCTAACCATAGAACTTTATGTAACAAATAAGGACCTTCTGACAATGTTTTTTTGTCATTTATCTGTATAGCTAGCACACATTAATACTCCTGATTTGTTTTGTACAAAATAGGGATGTCCTGATACCAGTTCCGATACTTGGCATTTTCACAAGAACTACCAGGGTTGCAGCTGGGACCTGGCTCTGGTGCTCCACCACTGTCCTGAAATCCTCAAGGTGCCCATACACCTGCCGATTATCATACGATCGCGGGATTCCACCCCGATTATCGTACGATAATCGGCAGGTGTATGGAAGGCGTGCGACTGTTTCTACTGTACGATGCTAAAGCCTAATGAAGGGACCCTGTGCGGTCCCGAAAGCGCTTGTTTGGTCATATGACAAAAAACTTCAATAAACGAAGCTTTTGCTAGCTTAAAAGGATTGGTGTGCTGGTGACATTTCTACAATTGTTTCTACTGTATGGTCGCAAGTCTTTTGTCTCCCGAGCAGGCTCGAAAACCCGCCGAGGATCGTACGATTGTCGGCGGGTTAGAGGCGTTCTCGAAGACAAATGCCGCAAACGCATATTGCTCGTGCGGCTTTAGAGTCGTCGGAAACCAGCCCCTCAGCGGGGCGGGCTTTCGATGATCGCAAGTACGATCTGCCGGTCCAAGATGGGCAGATTGTACGAGCTTTTAATTACTTTATAACCATTGCACGACTCAAGTCGTGCGATGGTTGTAAAGTGTATGGCCAGCTTTAGTCTGGATTGTTTTAGAAAAACTGTCCCATGACAACAAAAATGTATCAGTACTTGTATCTGAGTACTAGGACAAGTATCAGTACTTGTAAAAATGGTATCAGTGCATCACATATAGATTATTTAAAAAAAATAATGCATTAAAACAGAGATGGACAAATCCCAGGAGCTCCGTATGCTCCTTACAAATGACAGCTGCCTCCTAACTTTTGAATTTTAGTCTAGTCTTGGGAGCTGTAAAAGTATTTATACTTGTACCGAGTACAGAACTTGGTATCTGAACATCCCCAGTACAAAATATCCAAGTCTGTTCACACACTCATGTTACATAGATACCCCTGCCAGGCAGGGGGATCTAATAACTAGGTCATGTCTTTTTACCCTGCAATTAAGCACTTAAACTTGGTCACCAGTCCATCCCAGCCTTCTGACTGGACAAAAAGGAGCCTTAGAATATTAATGGAGGTCATCATTCTGCTCTCCACTTCTGTGCATAGAACTGTAAAATGTACCAGAGCTTTATTGTCTCAGAGTGCTTAGGTACTTTTGATATAGTGAATGATTCTTGTCTAGACACAACTCCCGCACATGCAAACAGGAGTCACTTGATCTCAGCATGCTGGGTCTGTACACTGAGCTATGCATGCGTGCCTCAGTGTACAGAAAACAAAAATTGAATGGCATCAAGAGGCTTTTATGGCAAAAGAGACTTATACAGTCTCTTCTACTATAAAAAGCCTGCCTGTGATGGGCAGTTCTTTTTTTCTTACCCCATTTCTACTTTAAAGCTGAGCTCCACTACTACTACTTTAAAGCTGCTGTCTTTTATGTCAAATGATTTGGAATACTGTCCGGGATACTTTTGTGATTGGTACACCTCAGCCAGAGATCACAGCAGCACCTACTTCTCAATTAACGTTATGGAATACAGTGCTGTTCCTCACAGCCCCTAGCCTGGGAGGCAGAATATTGATAAGTCATCAGCTCTATTTCCGTTCCTTCCGTTTCCTGTCAGCACATACAGCAGAGCCAGATAAGCGCTAGTGTTGGCACTCTCCCCATCTGAGTGCTAAGAAAGGAATGAAAAGTACTTGACTCGTGTTAAAACCTATTCTAGTTGTACGTAAAACACTATTTAAATAATGGAAACCTACAACGGCACTCACTTTATACGGTATAACCACAGGAAACATACAGTATTATGGCCACTTAGGGACAGGTACCTGAGAGAATCCACCAAGAACAATCCTATTAGCAGGGATTCCATTCCTCATTTCATGCTCAATGATACTCTTGACTGTAGGAGAAAAAAGGAACATAAAAACCATCACATATCTGGCACTGAGACAGAACATTAAATCAACCTTAGTGGTTAGACAGGTTTTTTTGCATGCTGGCTTGTGAGTGTGCTGGGAAAACCTTTTGCTGTTAAAACATTAAATCAGTCTCCTAATACTTAAATCTGAACTCCAGGGGGGAAAAAAAATAAATCTTAACCCTTGCAGTGGGGCAACCCCTGAACTGAAAGATGATAGTAATGAAGATCACCAGCACTCGCAAAATGGAATGAATCCAAAAGTTCTTTTTATTGTAGAACAACGTCACATGTACAATATAGCCAACGTTTGGGAACCGTGCAGGGTCCCTTCATCAGCGCAAACATAGTGACGGACACTATGTTTGCCCTTATGAAAGGACCCTGCGCGGTTCTGAAAAGTTGGCTATACTATACATGTGACGTTGTTCTACAATAAAAATAACTTTTGGATTATTACTATCATCTCGGGATTTGCACGGCAAGACATCACTGCAAGCACTGCCATTTCAAGCACCAAAGGTCCCTATTGCTGTATGGTGTGCAGGGGACATTTGTTCACTGACCTGCACTGAAAGGGTTAAGTGCGGTGCAAGGGTAGCCCCACAACAAGGATTATGTTGTTTCCCCTCCAAAGTTCTTATTTAAAAGGGAGCATGGTTTAAAGAAATATTTGTTTAAAAAATAATAAATTACATCAATCATGACATTCTAAAATTGGGCACACATGATCTGACTTTACCTGTCCAACAGTTACTTTAACATAGAACTACAGTCAAACTGCTAAATACATAGTTGAAATACATGTATCTTGTTTGTTATACCAATGAAAGGATTTTTTTTGCCAGCCATTCTTGTGATACACACACCTCTAATTCTCAGCAAGATCACCCTTCTACTTCCTGTTTTACCATTACACTGCTTCCCATTCGTTCTGTGCTTATTGGACAGAGGTGATAAGGCTGATTGATAGTCAAGTAAAGAGGATGAAGGTGGAGAGCTTACAAAGAAAGCGGAATTGACAATGATTTCTAAATCAGAAACTACTTATGTCACATGTCTGGCAACTTGTGTTAATGCAGGAATGGCTTCACAAAATGACAGGTAAAACAGTAATGGTACATGTATTTAACTGCTTCCTGTCCAGCGGCCATTCATAATTTACCGACCGGGGGCCTTCTACATGCGGGTGAGCGTTTAAAAATGTCCTTCCAGTAAAACTGCTCAAATTTGAAACAGCCATCGATGGCTGTTTAAATACAAGCGTTCGGGCAACTGTAGAGCCGCCCGATTACTTATATTTTGCGTGTCGGTGTGTGCCTCTGCCGATCCCCGCTGTGCCCGATACGAGCCCAGGACTGGCACAGCGGCTTTGTGACTGGAGAGCAGTACACAATCTCCCTCCAATCTCTGAATGCAGGAAGTGATGTATATTACATCACTTCCACATCCAGCTGTCATTCTCCGGCTACAGAAGTCAGAGAGAAGCTGATGAAGCAGATCTCTGCTTCATCAGCTTCTTTGGGGGTGCTTAGATGACATTAGAGGGTCTCAGAGACCCCTGATGTCTCCATGAAGAGGACCTATCACTGTATATTGGCTATCACATAGGGTGATAGCAATAAAGTTTAAGAAAAAAAAAAAGTCCCCTGCCCCCACTTACACAAGCAAACATGTTTCGGTGTGCCTACAAGTGAAAATTCCGATTGTGCCGCACATGTTACATATCACCGCAAACCTCAGAGTGAGAACAATCATTTAGGGCCATCAATCACTGCTGACACTAAATTGATGAGCAGTAAAGCTTTTAAAGTGTCGCCTATGGACAATTTTGGGTATTGCAGTTATTTGCGACTTTGCGGGCGTGTGCAATTTTAAGGCTTGACACGTTTTGGCGTCTATTTACCCGACATGACCCCGTCTTTTATATTTTACCAAAAAATGTGGGCAATAATACATGTTTTATAATATAACGAGTTTCAACTGTCTGGTGTACTGCTCTAACCACCTCAGTGTCCGTCTGCTCTAACCACCTCAGTGTCCGTCTGCTCTAACCACCTCAGTGTCCGTCTGGTGTAACCACCTCAGTGTCCGTCTGGTGTAACCACCTCAGTGTCCGTCTGGTGTAACCACCTCAGTGTCCGTCTGGTGTACTGCTGTAACCACCTCAGTGTCCGTCTGGTGTACTGCTGTAACCACCTCAGTGTCCGTCTGGTGTATTGCTGTAACCACCTCAGTGTCCGTCTGGTGTACTGCTGTAATCATTTCAGTACCGGCATGTTAATCCCCCTTAATTACCAGGCCATTTTACAGTGCTGAGATTGACTATAACACAACACTGTAACCGAATTCAATTTATATAATTTTTTTAGACATATAGATTTATTTTGGTAATATTTAATAAACGCGTTGTTACTTTAAAAAGAAAAAAAAAAAAAAAA